AATAATGTGATTGATTGATTAAATACCATAATATTTCGAAGCTATGAGATTTCGAACGGGTCGATTTCAATTTTTTTTTGTGTACGTGTTTTTCTGGTATATTAATTTTAGCGCTTTAAGTCTTCTTGAGACTGATTGCTTAAACTACAGGAAACAGAAAAAACTGAGGCTGGGCGAAAATTTTCGGGAAGTGGAAGATGTTTTTGGGGTATAAAGGCTACTAGAAAATAAACATTTTCTGACCCATGGTAGTAAGATATGAACATTTTTAAACCTGGCGCTTAGGCAACTTTCGAAACAAATGGAGTGGATGCCTATTTTTTGTACGTAAAATGAATAATAAATATGTAATAAACAAGAATATCCTTGGACTATTATGAATATCTTGACGCAGTCGGCGTTGGCCGGTGGTTAGGCGTTTCTCCACTTGAATATTCGCCTCCTTAGAATATCTTTAGGACATTCGAAAAATTCTGAGAAAACAACTTTCGTAAATGAAATTCCTAAAATAATCTTAGGATATTCTCTCGCGGAGACATCTTGCCCTTGCGGCATCAATTTCAAAAAAGCTTATAGGAACCACAGTCTTCTCACCGATCGCGATCGAAAAGGCGGCTTCAAAACCAGCCCTTGCGTGGAAACCTTACTTTAAGGAAAAATGCGTTGGAAATTTAAAACAGTCGATACCTCTTTTCCGTTTTTGAGAAAATGAAAGAGTTTCCTTGCATTCTCATGGTTGTTAAAAGAGAATACAAGAAGATTTATAAATTATTATTTGTGCAAAATAAGGTTTTCCGCGTTTGAGCTGTTTTGCAGTCGCCTCCTCAATTACCAGTTGATTTTTAAGCACTGCGTGGACCGCCTGCTTCAACGAGAAAATTGACGAGTGTCTTCCTGGCTATTGACATTAAGTTGTTTGAAAACAAGGTGGATGCTGGGCCCACACCATTTCGCGGGGAAAACAAAGCCAAGAAGCTCCAAAAATTATAATTAGAGTCAAAATTAAATTTTTGAACTCGAATGTTTTTTGTAGTTAATGTTTTTAGAACACTGTACTTTTTTCTTCTTTTTTTTTCTTTTCTTTTTTTTTTCTTTCCCCCCCCCCCCCAGCTGTTTAAAACCCTTTTAATGAAAGGCAATGGCGGAACAGCTACTTTCGTCTGCTGTATTTTAAGTATCTCTTGCTTTTAGCACAATTTGGACTAATTAATATGTTTTATGAAAGAGGTTTTTGGAAAGTTGTAACGAGCAATTGAAAGGAATTTTGTGTTCGGAAACGATTAATTATGGGGAAAAAATCATTCATTTTTTCCATGGTCAAAGGGTATCTGAAAAAAGAACTGTCGAAATGAGTTACTTGTAAATTTCATTCAATCGAATTTAAAGTTTAAAGGCTGAAAATGAGTAATACATGCATGTAGGCAACGTAAAAAAATGTACGTTGAATTGATGCCTTAAACTGACCAACCAACTGATAAATGAATTTAAAAATGAATAAATAATAATTAGAATGATAAAAAAAAATCCCAGAAGTTACTTCGTTCGGACTTGGTAATTCTTTTAAATGCTTCCCTGATGGTTTGAAAAGAGAAAAATTAAATTTGAAAAAATACGAAAAGTCTTTATTCAATATAATACAATTGAGGTAGCGACGAGAGATCAGTGTTCAAGTAATGTTTGACTGAGATTGGTATCTCTACAAATATTTTAAAGTGATAAAAGTGAGCTTGGTAAAATTCACTTGAACCAACTGATAAGTAGAAGGAAAGACTTGGTTGCAGAGGTCTAATCTTTACTGCAATACAAATTTTGAGGATTTAAGTTAACGTACCTATATTAAATGCAAATGGAGACAAGATGGGACACAGAACAAGGTGTGTTGTGTGTCTCCATAAAATTCAAGATTTAGGTACCTACAATAAATTTGTACATTATTTATCCGATTAACAAAACAGAAAACTTAAAATTAAATGTGGCACACAAAAGATAATCAGCTAGCGCCTTCTGTGGCGCTGAAAAAACAAGTCTTTAACATTTTCCGCCCACTAGATGCGATGAGAAAACTGCATTTATTGCAATAAGGGAAACCGTCTTCTTCGCAGCTTTTCGCTGTCGAGAGGAAAATTCTTGTTGCACCACAGAGCCAACTCATGGCGCCATGCGAACTTCAGTTTTTGCAACACAAGATTCCTTGTCCCAATGATTTATTTTCCTCGTGAAAACCAGAAAAAATCGTAGTAAAAAGACAAGAAGGCTTTTGTTGGCACGAATAACTTTCATTTAGCAGAATATGCTGTTTCCAGAGCAAGGCGAGTTGCTTCATCAGGACAAATAAAAGACTGCTACGGGAACGGGTTCCTTAACTGCCATAAATGGAATTTTTCTCAGCACGGAAATCAAATCCAAAGGATCCACCATTAAACGTGTAGTCAATTATTAAAAGTTTATCAGTTTACATGGCAAGTAGGTGGGTTAATGACTATAATAATGAGTGTATTTTTATTTTAGTAATGCAAGAATCAATTGAAATCGGTGGTAAGCTCTCTTTCGTGAGGCTAAATTAACTTTCCTATTGCAATTACTGTTGAGCTACTGGCGTGACCCTACTTCGCTATCTGTAGAATTTATAGTGGCAAGTTTTTCTCGCCTATTTTTAATGTACTATTGAGCAAGCATGTGTTTCTTTTAAAGCTCCAAAAATATCAGTAAAAAAGAACGAGGAGTTCATTTGTGAACCTGTTATTTCCTATCTAAAGATTAAACATTTTGAAAGTCTCGAGGATTCCTTTTATAGTGAGCATGCGCACGTTTTGTCGACACTACGTAATTCACGCACTTGAAGTGCAAAAGTTTGATCAAAATTGTCAGGACAACTCTTGCTTCTCAAATTTCAACCTGGTCGAAGTCTAAGACGGGGAAAAAATAGAAAAAAAAAAGTCTGTAGATACATATAATGCATCACTATTAAAGAGATTTATGTACAAAAAAAAAAAAAAAAAAAAAAAAAAAAAAAAAAAAAAAAAAAAAAAAAAAAAAAAAAAATAGCTCAATTTTAACTTAAAAGTATCGAATGAATATTCTAATGGTGATACAAACACCATTAAGAAAATTATTATGACTTGTCTTTTTTAGACGACCTCTTCCGGTCAACATTGTGCACCTTTCACACTTACGGTCACATTCATGATAATAGCTTCTTTCTTTAGGAGGCCCCATTATTGGCTTACATTGTTAATGCGGGCAGTTTACGGAAGCCCTTGAAATATTATTATGAAAAATACAATTTTGTCAACTTTGAGTAAAAATCAGCGGTATAACTTCGACAATGAATCCTTGCGAGAGCTAATTATAATTTACCACTGCAAAAAGGACAAAATACGGAAGGTAAAGTGCTTTAAGATTGACAGACAGGTACGAACCTACCTTAAAAAAACGTACAAGACTTACGGTCTATTTTTTTCGCATTTTGTATTTTTTATAGCGGTAGATTATTGTAATCCTTTTCAGGAATCCATTCCCAAAAATATACATCTGAATCTTACTCATGGCTTGCAGAAATTATTTTTTTCATGATGCTATGTTAAAGACCTCGAACTTCCCATAATCGCAAGATAAACCATATGAATCAGTTGTTTTCAAAAGGGAACAAGTCCATTTCTGCATGAGCCTTGGCTTGCATAAGAGGATATGCTAACTGAGACTCATCGAGGAATGGGCCTGTTCCCTTTTGAAAACAACTGATTCACATTGGGCCTCCTCAGGAAAGATGAACCGAGCTGTTTAAGAAACGACTGTGAATATGACCCTAAACGTTTCATGCAAACAAATAAAACAAATAATCTAAATTATAATAAAACATAAAACAAAAATCTAACAAAAAACTACAGATATATGACTTCATGAACAATTTAGGAAACTGACTAACTTTTAAAAAACGCTTTTGAAGAAAAGAAAGATGGGAAATTCCAATAGCTCAAAACCTGCTTAGCGTTTTAATTTAATGAGAAAGGTCCACAAACTGTACGACTGAAGCCAACTTGGGCGAAAAGTCGGATGATTTGGCGTGTCTTGAAAAAATAATGTATATCAGACCACAAAGAGAATAGAGATCAGCATGATTATCAAGTGTCTTTCAATAAATAACTCCCAGGAATATTCGGTGCCCATCTTAACGCTATAGGCAGCACTGATCAGTTATCACGCGCATATGATGAGGTTACTAGGGTCTGATGATTATCAAATATCGATGAGTAAATGAGGACCTTCCTATTAATTAATATATCCACCAACGACGGTCAAAAATACATGTGTAGTTCAATAGCTAAAAAGCCTCAGTCATTAGATTAAAGATACATTTTAACTTGAGCAATAGACCGTATCTACATATGACTTAAGTCGCCTCTGACATAACTCAGAAAAACCACAAAGAATGTGTCTCTGGTAACCACAGTAGGACCTTGAAACTGATCTGAATATCTTTATTAGCGGAACTTGCATTTGGGCGTATTTATGCTAAAAAGAAATATGTAAAACTGGAATAAATCTAAAGGAAATGCGAAGTTGTATCGTACGCACTTACTCCCTTTTGATGTGATTCAATTGTGCATAGTTCTTTTTAGCAAAAATATAACCATTTAAGTTAAGCTCACCAAATTATTTTACTCGGGCGCTTAAATACTCATCGTGTTACGCATCAGACATCAACGCAAATTAAGATTATTAAAAAAAAAAAAAAAAAAAAAAAAAAAAAAAAAAAAAAACCGTATACATTTAGTGGAAAAATTATTATAAACATGCTTTTAAACATGAAGAGTGCGTCTCAGTGGAGTTTAAGAATTTCTTAGTAATTAATCTTTCAAAATAAATAAATTAAAGCCAAAAAAAATTTTTTTTTAAAATCAAAGATAAGTTTTTCCTTTCATTAAAAATACGTTCTTTAACCTTTTTTCTCAGTGTGTCTACCTTAAAAATAAGGAGAAACGACCGGAATTAACCATCTTGTGAGGAAAACACGGTAAAGTCTACCTTACAGAATAAAGAAAAACGGCTAAAATAAACCATCTTGGAAGGGAAATACGGTAAACTAAAATAAAATAAGTATCAGTGAGTTGAGAAAAACCGGGAGGATGAGAAAGTATCACAGATGAGAGTCAGCGAGATAGCTCCATGAGGTTGTGATCTTTGAGGCAAGTGGGACAACTTTCAAGATCCATGAGCCAGAGAACTTGCGGATGCTGCGGACACGCTCGTCTTATGCGAACGTTGGGGGTGAAAGTTTGGCAATTGTTACAGTAAATCCCGTTGGGTTTCCGGTTGCAGAAACACGGCAAGCCCGACTCTTTCTTCTCTACTTCTAAGCGACTCTTCTCTACTTCCAGGCGACTCTTCTTCTCGGGTATCGGTGAATTGTTAAAGCCCGACTTTTTCTTCTCTACTTCTAAGCGACTCATCTCTACTTCTAAGCGACTCCTCTCTACTTCTAAGTGACTCCTCTCTACTTCCAGGCGACTCTTCTTCTCGGGTATCGGTGAATTGTTATTCGAGTCATTGCTCGTGTCCATAAAGTTGTGCCTCCCGCGACCAGCCATTATCTGAAACAAAACAACAATGAAAATAAGGAATATGGTAGTAAAAATTGCATTATAAGAAAACGTAACCAACATGTTGTGTTAATATGGGGCCGTCCATAAATTACGTAACGCTTTAAGTGGGGGGAGGGGGAGGGGGAGGGTATTTGCCAGCGGTACCGCGGCGTTCCAGGGCGGTGAGGGGTACAGAGCGAAGCGTTATAGGTAACGAGTTTAAGTGATTTTTTTTTTCGAGTTACTTCACAAGTTTTTGTCACTCGTCTTCGGAAGTTTTAAAGAATCTCGAAAATATTCTTTATGCGAGAAACGCACACTGACTTCACCGCGGTGTTAAAAAAAAACCCTCGAATCACACCGCAATCTTCAAAGAAACACGCGATTCTAACACCACTGCAAGCTGGCTTTCCTTATTTTCACAGCCTTCCCACTTATCACGCGATCATGATCGGGAAGACTCGGCATTCCTGTCTACTCACACGGGAGTGATCGAACAACGATAGGTATCGATGAACATGACCACTAGATCAGTATACTGGATGCAAAGGGAGTGTGGTGGGGTTGAAATCCATTCCCTCGATTAAGGCAATTCGTCCCGGATTCTGGAGATTGGACTATAAGTATAAAATCTGGGTAGATTTTTACTTTTAGCCCAAAAAGCGACGATAGCCCCTCGACTTGAGCTTATAAGTTCATGCTCAACTAAAAAACTGTGGAAATTATTTAATTTTAAAATGTATCGACGGTACCCAGAATGCATTGCAAAAGCTGAAGATCTACCCTTGACTGGACCGCGTTTAGCAGAAAGGAACCAAGACACAACCGCTATTGCCAAATGTAACTGAGCAATTTAGTTTTTTACGAGAGAACGTTCGTACGGATTCCTTTCAAAATCGTGAGAAATTCGCTTTGTAGTTTGTAGAATATTTTCTGAAATTTGCACAAAACTCCGGACAACCCTTTTCATGTAAAAAATTAAAGTTCCCAATTAAATGTGGCAATAGCTGATGTGGCTTGGCTTCTTTCTGCTTAACGCGGTCCATTTTACCGCATTGTTACAAATAGCTCCGACAACACTTTTTGGTGTTTTCCCTTATTAATTGATTTATGCATCCTATTTTGCAGAAATTTTATCCGAAATGTCATGGATGGCCAAGATTCCTTGGAGAATTTTAAGGACTTTGCTTCACTACATGCAGAAAATTCACCGAAATTTCCACAAAAACTGCATTACCGTTTTCATGTAAAAAATCAAATTGCCGAATTGCATTTGGCAAAAGCTGCTAAATCAAATTGCCGAATTGAATTTGGCAAAAGCTGATGTGGGTTGGTTCCTTTCTGCTTAACGCAGTGCGACTCATTGCGTGAAAAAGAAAGCGGTGCGAAAAGGAGCGGCGGGGCGGGCGGGGAGCGGGTGAAAATGAGGACATGTTGGAGGTGGAAGAGAGCTCGGGCTCGGGAAACGAGGCCCCATTTGTAAAAGGTATAATAAGAGATTAAGTTGAAATCATTTAACGGGAGCGGAGGGAGCCAGCCCGCGGGCCGCGCGCCGTCGCTATCCCGCTATGAGCCGCGGTGGCACGAGCTCCGCGAGACCCGATAAGTAGTCCTCGGGCGCGAGCCCCCCGGCCCACGGCCCCGGACCCGGCCCCGGCAGGTGGGAATCCACCGCGCTCGCTAGCGGCACGCACCCAAAAAAACTCGCCACTTCGCCCCGGGCGCCGCACCGTGGATCCAGTCAATAACAGAGCTCCAAACCAAATCTACCAAATTGAAACGCTTAAAACACCGACCATGCAAAATTTTCAGCTTTTAAAAGAGCTTCCATTGGTTTCCTTGTTCAATTTTCTTCTCAGAGCACCTCCTGAAATTTAAAATACGACGAAATACACGTCAAAATTTGCAGATTTAGTCGGAAAAACATGTCCAACCTCTCTAATTGACTCGATCCACTGTGAAACTTTCATAACTCCATGCAAAATTTGGAGGTTTTAAAAGTGGGTCCATCGGTTTCCTTGTAAAGTTTTCTTCCCAAAGCACCACTTGAAATTTAAAATATGACGGAATACGCATCAAAATTTGCAGTTTAAATAAAAAAAAGCATGTCCGACCTCTCTAATTGACTCGATCCACCGTGAAACGCTTATAACTTAATGTATGCAAAATTTTGAGCTTTTAAAAGTGGGTCTATTGGTTTCCTCGTAAACATTTCTTCTGAGAGCATCCCGCGTCAAAATTTGGAGTTTAGGTGAAAAAAAGCCATGTCCGACTTCTCGTATTGACTGGATCCCGGGTGCGGCGGGGCGCGGAGCCGATGGCGTGAGCTCCGTTAGACGCACGCTCCCCGTTTTGGCCCGTTTTCGGGTAAAAAAACAAGGTTTCGCCGAAAAAAACCCGTGCGGCTCGTCCTCGTCTTCACCCCATTGGGAGCGAGCCGAGCGCGAGATGTGCCCACGGGTCCCGCGCCGCCCGTACAATACAAACACCGGGGTCTCGAAGCCTTTATTGAGAGCTTTAATCAAAGATTACTTGCCCGCTTCATGAAAATATAAACACGCGCTATCGCGTCGCATCGGAGAAATGATGCGGAAAAAGATAGTAACCCAACGAAACCCCTCGAACCCTTGCCTCCAGGTTCATTAGTGCTGTCACTCCGATAGTCGAGTTAACTGGGCTACGTTTGGACCGAGTTCATCAAAAAGTAACCAACCCACATTGAGTTGAAACCAGAGACAAGTATCTTGGCCATGGTGAAAGCTTTTACTTTCGGCACTTGAGCATTCTACTGCTGACTTACCTACATGGTTCATGTTCAACAACGTGTTGGCAGTTTCGTTTTGCAAACAAACCGAAATTGTTCGGCTCATGACGTCACCCGAAGCTCATCATCCACCATGTAGGTAGGTCAACAGCCGAAATTGGAGTGATGACTGTTGATCCCTTGTAATTGTCCATAAGGAATAAATTGTGAATCCCCAAATGTAAAAGCTCCCACCTGTCGCCAAGAGGCCGATGGAGGGGTCTCATGTCTCCGGTTGAAACTGAGAAAAAGAGGTTAGAAGTTGTATTCCTGCATATGGCTCAATGTAGAAAATAAACTTCAACCCCTCTGAACGTAAAATGATTCATTTTTTAGACTTTCAGATTTTGGCAGGAGAAAATAAACGGCTAGCGGAACTCAGAAACATTCCGGACTCAATTCTTCGGAAAATTTGCGTTCGTTCCATTCTGATAAACTCGGTCTATTTGAGGTGCAGTGAGTTCTCCGTTTTCCCATTTTTCGGACCGACCTTTCTATTTTAGCAACTCTCTAGTTTCCAGAAATTTTCAAAATCATGATTTTTTATCTGTCCTCCATGCAAAAATCGCAAATTACGCGAAAAACACGCGATTCAACGCTTGCGAGCTCCTGGCTTCTAAAGAAACTGCATTTTTGTGATTATTGCATGCAGCCATTAACAGGTGAAAGTCCCTAGATGAGCCCGCTCTGTTCAGATTTATGAAATATGACCCAGGTTTCTGTATGTTACGTGATGACGTTGAAAATTCTTCCATTTCAACATTGTACATTTTCATCCCTTGTTACATCTCATTCCAAAGATCCACTGGGCTGAGTGTTATGATGTTTGCGGCTATTGATAGGGGATGGTCCTTGAATGAGCCCATCCTATGTACATTATTCCATGTGGACGTGGGGGGGGGGGGCTCCAAAGCTGCCTCAGAGGCGCGTTCTCTGGGGGTTGGGTCGCGTAGCGGCCAGGGGGCGTGACCCTATAATAAGGATATGAAGTCAGACACGAACCAGAAAAAAAGCAACAGAGACATTCGGAGAAAAATTATTCTGCCTCTGCGATGAGAGATGACAAAGCTGAAGTGTCCTGCTCCTCTGACGTCAAGAAAAACTCTCGTAATAAAAAATCTATTAATACCATACTTAGAGAAAATGCTTCTTCAAGGTGACTCGTCATATACTGAGAATCTAAATATCCATTGAGATTTGAAGAGTGAGCGTCCGCCCTTCATCTCTCCTCCCTTAACTGAAAAACTTTCAAATGAAATAAGTTATCAGCATAAAGAGGACAAAAACAACTGTGCAGATAATTTCCAAGAAAGAGCGAGTGGTCCTACTTTTGGAATGACCCTCGAAAGAAGATAAGATGAAAAAATACTTCGCTTGAGAAAGGGAACATTTCGAACACTAACACACACACCCTAACACCCTTCAGTGGCGTGGCGTGCATTGCGATATATCGATTGACCTGTCATTTAAACCTCTGGCAAAGGATCGATAAACAGGGTATTTGCAGCGAACACCTCAATAATCGATTCTAAACCATAGCATCGAATCGGGAAATATCGGTATATCACAATGCGCGCCACGCCACTGACAGCCTTACACACTCAACATTGCGTCACGATGAGCTATTAAAATATGCGTCTAATACAGGCCAACTTTGATTTCAGTTCTAGGAAACTTCACTTGGACCTGACGACCTTTGCTGAATTTAGTATCTTAAGATCTACTCATCCAGTCTATATATGGACGATACTGTCACACAGAAACCCACCTGCCACTTCTGCAATTCATCACCTCTAACCATCAAACACATACTTATGGACTGCTCTTCCCTCCGACATCTCCAATCACAGATCTACTCCCCTACAATCAACAGAAATACAAACCCTCTTACATGCGATGAACCTAATATTGCCACCAAAATTCTGAAACTCTTCACCTCTCTTAATTTAAAAATCTAAATTTTCGTTTATACTCCTATTTTCAAAATTACCTGTAAAGACGTTAATAGCCTGAGTCGCTGAATGTCTCAAAATTATAATAACTAACTAACTAAATCCTACCTACATACTCGGTAATTTTAGAAGAACATATACGTGTCTAAGCAACCAAGAAAGCACAATCGTCCTATCGAAATCCTAATCCTAAGGCCCTCTCCATCTCTCATCATAGGATTAGAGATGATGGACCAAACCGAGAGACATTAACTGGACGTATTTCTATCAAGCGGAACTATGTGCATTATGACGTGAGCCCTGGTATGCATGTATTCTTACGGGTCTCAGGGCTCATGTCGTAATGCACATAGTTCCGCTTGATAGAAATTCGTCCAATTAGCTTGACTGCCTGGTGGCGAGGGATCAATTAGATTATAGAAAGATGCCAATTATTAATGACAACAACCGCACTGAAAGTAAAAACAGTTTGCTTGGCTGGGCATAATGATTATGTAATGCAGAAGATCGATCAAAATCGAATTAGTGACTCTATCTTTGGGGCTGTTCAGGACACAATCTGTAGCGAGCAATGTGTAAAAACTTTGCAGCGATGCATGTGCACTTTTTGGTTGCTAAGCAATTCCTTCATTTTCTTTCCTTGAAAGTAGCAAAACTGTTACATACTTAATGTAAGGGACAGAAAAGGCACCCGATCGCGAACGTGTAAAAAATGAAGTTTATTATTTTATTTAAAAAAAAAAAAAAAAAAAAAAAAAAAAAAAAAAAAAAAAACCACAAAACAATAGGAATGAAGGAATTACTTAGCATCGAAAAATTGTGCACATGTCCTATTGCACATTTTTTTAGATAGTAGTGTGATACAATGCTGAAGACCTTTGCAATCACCATGTAACCATCCGGGGTCTCCCTGAGCAAAAAAATATAAAAACAAATTTCATGGTAATTGATTGAAAAAAATCAAGCTACAAGTCAAAAATAAATGAATTAATTAATTAATAAATTAATTTAATTTCATAATTAATTAATACATCAATGAATTAATTCATTTTTAATCAATTACCACTATGCTTCTTAGCCGGCCAAATTTGGCTTTAAAATGTAAAACAAACCTTGGATTCAAAATTGAATGACTTTTTCATAACTTCTCAGGGCTTTTAAATATGAAATTTCCTAACTTTCATGCATTTAAGGTGTATTTTCTGGCATGATTTTTTATAAAAATGCCTTATTCAACAGATTTGGTGACGAGGTCTCTTACAATTGAAAGAATTCACATTATGCGTACTTAAAGGCAGTGGTTTTTTGCGTCCATATAGCGTGTGCAGTTAAAAATGATTTATTTTTCCTGCTGACCGAAAAAATTTCGAGGTTTCACACTGAAATTTTTTAAATTTTTCCCTGACTTTTCATGATTCAGGGTTGCCAGATACTTCCTATTTCAAAATTCCCTGACGTTTTGGAAAATTTCCTGAACCAGTGGCACTGTTATCCCCTGACTTTCCCCTCACTTCTTCCGAAGAAAAAAGAAAAGAGAATTTAAAAAAAGCATTAAAAAAAAGCGATGCAAGCTTTGAACCACTGCCATTGTAGGAATGAAGTTAAAACTTGCAAATAACCCGAATACAAAAAAAAGAAAAGAAAGAAAAAAAAAGACCCGAGCGGAAGAGCGGTGCAGAATTCTAACTTTTGCAACTTTTCTCAATTTTACTATCAATTTTGTTTTCTAAGGGGAAAATCGGGTAAAAGTCGGATGTTTTTTGGAGATCTTCATTTCAAACACGAAGATTACAATGGGTCAGTTGCGCTGGTCACAGAATCGTGTTTTGGTGCTTAATTCTTGCAGATTAGCTAAAAATAGTAAGATCTGTCTAAACGGCAACTTTCAACGCTCAATACTGCGACCAAGATACCGCCTTTGAAAAGTCGGGTTTTTGACGTCATCGCCGCAATAGTGACACCCTTAGTTTCTTCCACCTTGATTTCATCAGTCGGTGTGACGCACATTTGTTCTGGTTATTCAAACTCAGATGAAAGCAAGGTAGAGGACACTAAGTGTGTCACTCCCGCGGTGGATGACGTCAAAAATCCGACTTTTCAAACGGCGATATCTCGGTTTACATTGAACGTAGAAAGTTGCTGTTTGGACGGATCTTACTATTTTTTGCTAATCTACAGGAATCAAGTACCAAAACATGATCCTGTGGCCAGCGCAATTTGGCCCACTTTCCGAACATCACGCTAGGCCAAAATGCGTGATGCAGCTATTTCAACTACAAAGCTGCTCAAATTGTATCTATTGAGTTGAGGGCTAACTTGATTTCTCCTTCCTGTTTTTAATTATTCAGGTAGGAGCGCAAGGGCGGGATATATTCTAATTTTCGCAACTTTCCTCAATGTCAATATCGAAATATTTTTCTGCGGGGAGAATTGGGTAAAGTTTAGGTACTGGAAATTTCGCTGCGATGGTCATTAAAAACAAAAATATGACAATTGAAGTTACTCGACTGTCGGACATCGCGCTGGATCAAAATTCGCGATACAACTATTTTAACTCCTGAGTCGCTCGAATTGCAACCTCAGGGTTGCAAGTTAAATCAAATTTTTAAATTTTCCGATTTTTTGGAAAAATCTGGCGCTCAACTTTCCTGAAATTTAGAGGGTCCATAGTGAAATTTCCCAATTTTTCCCTGACTTTTCATGGTTGGACAAGATTCTCTGACTTTTACACGTGCTCAATTACGCTTCAAGAACTTGCCACCGCGAGTCAAGGATCTGTTTGAGAAAAGGCCATAAATTAGGCCCTGGAGATGAGAAGTAGGTGGAATGGAACATGTCGCTGAGAAGGGAGATGTAGCGCCCGTGACCCGAGGCGTTAATGATCCATTCGATATTTCCCCGTTTGAAGCTGTAGTCAAAAATCGATTATCGAAGTGTTCGTTACGAACACCCTGTTAATCGATCCTTTTCCATAGGCTTAAATGACAGATCAATCTATACATCACGAAGCACGCCAAGCCACTGCAAGGCACTTGCATCATGTTCGAGCAAACTGCCGTCATCGGCGAAAAGAGCCGTAAGTGCGAGAATGAAGTTTTGAAAAAATGGGCTCAATGACGTCTCGGCGAGGAACATTATTGAAAGCTTTCGTTCTTTGTCAAATGACCACCTATCTTCCGTAAAACTCTCGGGAATCGTTTGGATGATTGAAAATTCAAGAAATTCATTTCAACAATAACATAAGGGTACTCATTTTCACGTTACGCTAGTGTCAGGCAAGATAGCCATAAGTGCTATCTTCTGCATGCTTTTGTAGTTGCGTTTTGGACAGACAATAAATACATTTTCAGGTTAGAAACAGGCAGAAAAGGACGCCATTTTACTTAAAAGTACTGCTCTCAATGGTTCTCTGTCGGAACGGGTGTTTTGTTTAAAAAAAATCATTTTTTTCGTACTTACGGCTTTCTCACATTTCCCTTTTTACACAAGAAGGTATAAGACAGCGGATCAGTTGCGCTAATAACGGAATTGTGTTTTGATGCTTGATTCTCGTAGATTAGCTAAAAATAATAAGATCCGCCCAAACAGCAATTTTCTGCGTTCAATGTAAACCGAGATATCGCCCTTTGAAAAGTCAGGTTTTTGACGTCATCCATCGCGGTAGTGCATGACATAATATGTATGTATTACCGCGGTGAATGACGTCATAAATCGAGTTTCTCAAGGCGCGATATCTTGGTTTTAATATTCGATGTAGGAAGTTGCTGTTACTTCCATTATTTTTAGCTAATCTGCGAGAATCAAGCATTAAAACACAATTCTGTGGGCAGCGCAACTGAACCGTTGTAATCTTCGTGTTTTGAATAACGATCTCGAAGAAACGTCCTGCAACTTTTACCTAATTTTTCCCGCAGAAAACGATACGAATAGTAAAATTGAGATAATAGTTACAAAAGTTAGAATTTTGCACCGCTCTTGCGCTCCTGTCTGTATTCGGGTCATTTGCAAGTTTCAACTTCGTGCATACAATTGCAGTGCTTCAAAGTTTGCATCACTTTTTTCAAATGAACCTTTTTCTTTTCCTTCGGAGGAAGTGAAGGAAAAGTCAGGGGATAACAGCGCCACCGGTCAGGGAATTTTTCCAAAACGTTATGGAATTTTGAAATAGGAAGTATCTGGGCAACCCTGAATCATGAAAAGTCAGGGATAGATTGTGCAGTCAATTGTACTCTGCCGTGCCAAGGAAGAAGGCCGTATGAACATTCGAGAGTTGCCGAATTTCCCTTGACAAAATATGTATTTTTGACAACATGCATGCATATTTCTCCTTGAAATTTTCGGATATTTTAGATTAAATTGCGTACAAAATTGTCTAAGAATATTGGAAAATAATATTCACAATTTTCTCAGTAAATTCGGTTATTATCGGAGGAAACTTGGCAACGTTTGAAGACTCATACGGCGTTTTTCCTTGGCACGGCAGTGCTGTTTAAGCTGTTTTAGTGAATTAATATGAACGCGATTAACGAATTTTGAAAGAAACTGGGTTTGGAAAATTGAAGTGAGACGGCTCCCTCGGCTGTGACGGGGGCTCTGACCGGGGCGCCGCGCCGCCCGCACCCGGCGAGGATATCCACACTCGGCCAATTTGGGTAGGTTTGCTGGCGCACCGCTCCGGCGGGCGCGACCGACGAGGAACGGGGTCGAGGTTGAGATTGTGAATGAGGGGTGGATTCTGCACGGGACAGGGAGGATCGCGCTAGGCGCCCCCTGTGAGCCAGAGCGAGAACCACCCGGCGTGCGAGGGAGACGGAGCGATGGGGCAGTTTCTTCCCAATTTCTCCTTTTCCCCAACCTGGTAGCCTCGTGGTAGTGGTTCCTTCCAAGTGTTAGTCGCTTGTCAACTCCCTTGCAAGAACGTCCGCATCCGCGCAATCAACACATGACCCGAACATTTCCGCATCTTTTTTTATTTTCTTTTTCTTTCCAAGTCTCTCGTTTCTTGCCACGCTTCGCACACATAGTCGAGGATTCGCGTTAAACGACAGTGCGATCGCTCCGCGCCTTGATTTTCGCTTCCTAAATGTTGTCTTCGTCCACTTCGCGCTTTCGGTTTGTTTACGTTTTCATGTTTGTGTGATATCGCGATGGTGATAAGCAATTGGTTAGGATTCATTACGTTTTATTAACTCTGTTATTACACGAGGATGGATGATGGCTCTAAGTTTTCTTCATGATAGCGCTTCCAAAGGTAAATCAACGTTGTTTACTTCCTAGCCTTACATTTAGATTCTTCCTACTCTTTTTTCACCAAGTATCTCTAGTCGCTAAATTGTCTGCCGAATGATTCGCCAATTTATTCGGGGGGGATGCGCCACACTTTTTTGAAATTTTTTTCCCCTGGAAAATTCTTTTAAATAATAACTAATCGAAAGGACAACCATTCCACAGATAAGTAAGATGACATGATGTTAGTGGGACCAATCTAGACTTAACCGAAAAATGATTCACGCTTCTCGTAAATAATAATTCAACTGCCTTTCTGGGACTAGTGGGATCTTTAAGAATACTTCAAGTATCGGCTGAAAATGTGTTTTCCTCGTGGAGAGATGAACACGAATTATTGCATACCCTTCCAGGCTCGCCAATTTTCCGGCAAGGTGCTTTCGGACAGACCTGACAGGAAAAATTATTATCCCGTAGCTACAAATGTGCTTGCGCACCGATAGAGCATTCTACAAAAGAGTCATGGTGGATTTCTTACTATATTTGTTCAACCTACATTTATTTTATCTGGGAGAAATAAGAAATGTTCAACGAAAAATTTGAAATAGTCTCATAGATTTTACGATGTTAATAGGCTGAGATATTTATAGGCTAGGTTATGTTTTTATTACCCTTACATCAAGGTAGCGCATGTTTAACTCGGCGAAGATAAGTGGGTAGAAAGAACATGGCTTTTTAAAAGTCTAATATATATGGATTACATGTTGCAAAAAGGAACCAAAATCATGCTATTGCTGCTAGGATTGTGCAACTTACATTCTTCGCGGGAAAATTAGTGAAATCATGCAAGAAATTAATTTTACAAAGGTAATTTTCGTCTTAAATTTTAAGTTTACTAGGTGTAAAGATAAAATTTGTTTAGATGATCATTCTATATTTGCAAGGTAAAAAAAGTTGCACAGTCTTAGCAACATTGGAATGCTCTTGGTTCCTCTTCGCAAAATGCAATCCATCTATCATACATTCCTTATATCTGGAACCGTGTTGTGTATATTGATATCGTCATTCCATTTTTAGGGTCGGTTATGATTAGACATTATCAAAGAACATAATTTTGGAAAATACGAAGATCTGTCTTTACCTCATTTTCGTGGTGTATCGTAACTTCGCACTAATTTTCTCCAGCTCTTTCTCATTTTCATGAAAAAGATGGAATGTAAAAAGAAGAGCCATGAATCTGTGCGATGCGCAGTGACGTCACAATAATTGCTCAGTGGCGACCAACTCATACAGCTACTCTGCCGTGCTAAGGAAGAACGCCGTATGAGCCATCAGGCGTTGCCACGTTTCCTTCGATAAATACCGAATATGTAGGGAAAATTTTGAATAATTTGTTCCCAAGATTTTCTGACAGATTTGTGCGCATTTTAATCTAAAATATCTGAAAATTTCAAAGAAAAATGTGCATAAATGTCGTAAAAAATACATGTTTTTTCAAGGGAAATTTGGCAACTCTCGAATGTTCATACGGTGTCTTTCCTTAGCACGGCGGTACTGGTGACAGTGAAGTGGTTTTCTGGACTGGATCGAGCTTAATCACGATAAACAGGGTGATCTAAAAGTCCCACACCACCACTTTAACCCTCCGGGTTCTTGCCCTTTTTTAGAATCTTGAAATTTTGGGGACCCGAAAGTAGTTTCCATTGACTTAGGGGCACTTACAAAATTTCAAGTCTCTATCTAAATGTGTTCAAAGGTTACAAGGGTGGTGACAGGTGTGGCTGGTGCGCGAATTTTGGATTATCTTGTACACATGGGGACGCACCAAAATAACTCCCCCCCCCCCCCCCCCCCCNCAACCGACAATGGAAAAAGCACTGAAGTGCTAACGAAGCTGATTCAACCAGGACCCGCCTAACTGCATTTCAAAGTGGCTAATTTTCTCTCAAATGTTACTTTTTCGATAGAAAACTGAACGAAATAACGTCTTGAAACCTCCTGTGCATTTCACTTAGAGACTATAAGCAGTGTACTCACTAAATTTAAAGTTACAATCAGATTTTGTTTTGAAATTGATCGTCTTTAATGAAAATTGAGCATTTTCGAGTTACCGAGTAGGTGTGTTTTCGTTCTCACTGATTAAATTGATGATGAACCACAATGAGCTGACAAGAGGTGATTGTAACCAATAATTTTTGCCGGTATATAGCTTGCAACGCAGTAAGGCTTTAACTTCCCCAAATTTCTGACAAATTTTTATCCGCGGAGATATTTTGGCGATTGGTTTTATTTTGGTGTCATCGAACGAGAGGAACTTGTTCACCAAATATATTTTAAAAAGACATTTGCTTACAGAAAAGTCAGCCAAACAATTCTTTGAAGGGCACAGAAAAAGATGATGAGCCGATATTTTAATTATTCCTATCAAAAAGTATATTTATTTAAGATGGATTTTTAGAAAATATGAGTAAAGTACGCGCACTGACCCGAGAGCAATTTTTTGCCTGAGATTCAATCTTCACTGAAAAAGAATTTATTTAATCGACGCGATGCAACGTCATTTCCCGAACGTAAGAACGTAACTTCATTTCAACGTTGCGAAATTTCCACTGCCAAAACTTGTGGTTTTAAGACGAAATTATTAAGCTTTGCTAACTAAAAATTTCACTCATTTTTATTCTGACTCCACCCAAAAATTAGTAAAATTTTAGACCGAAATCGCACAGCCATATCCTTGTTAAAAATTGAATGGTTTGATTCAACTGTATACAACCTTTTAGATTTAGTTCCGTTCTCTCGTTTAGGGAAAGACAAATCAGAAGCATAAAAATGAAAGGAATCAAAACAATGCACAGATGTAACATAAGTAAACTCATACTGCCCCGAGAAAGCTCCTCCTGATCTGGCTACATTTTAAAATAGGAGAAAGCTATGTTTCGCGGAAAACGTATGCCCAAAAATATTTATCTAACAGAATGAGTTTCGCGTAAACTTTTTAAAAGGACTAGTATAAACTAAAGGTAATAAAGGCATAAAGTCTTCATTACGACCGATGAGATTGAATTGAATCAAAGTCTCTAGGCTGGCTAAGAAATGACTTTGATTGAAGGTTGTAAAGTATAATTGAATGTTGTTCCTGGAATAATCAGTAGAGTGAGGTGCCACAACGGTTCAAATACGTAAAAACTAACTCATGTTAACCGTAAACATCTAATTCAAAATTCGAAGACATTAAGAACTGGGTAATTTGCAAATATCTTGACACGCATCACATGCAAACAAGCGTCAGAATTTCAAAACTAAATGGTCCTTTCACTTAGGGTAAAATTCAGTTTTTTACGTGTAGGTACAAGAGATAAAATTCCTTACTCCTAGTGAAAGCGCTCTAGACCTGTGCGACTTGAAAGTCTTAGGAGGGCAAAAATACTCGTGCTAAAAATTATCATTGCAACAGTATGGCTAAATGTTACGCTGAACGATGATTTCGAAGCTTATAAGTCGAAGGCACGCGTCTTTACAACGATCCAAGGCAAGGAAACGTGATACCACTATTCGTGCTCTTGAGAATGCGGGAAGCATAAGGCGCGAAATGAAGGCGAATGAACGGCGCAGCGCGCGGCGTCTCAAACCGAAATCTTTGCCTTGTAAAAATCGTTCGGAACTTGCAGTCCGCTCGAATGACAAACTAAACTAATGCCTCCATAATTTAATTTCTTCATTTGCATTCTATAAAAACGTTTTCAATGGATTTAACTTTCATTAGATACTTATTATTTGATCTCTTTGGCGCACAGTTGATCGAGTCAATAGGAGAGGTCTGGCAAGATTTGGAAACTTTAAACGCTTATAACTCCGTTTATACAAGACTTTGAGGTTCTAAAAGTGGTCCATTGGTTTCCTCATGAAATTTTCCTCTCTAAGCACCCCTTGAAATTTAAAATGTGTCGATGTAAAACATCAAAATTTCCAATTATAGTTAAAAATTTCATGTTCGACCTCTCTGATTAACTCGATCCACTGTGTGGCGTCCATGACCGAAACCTACAAAAGCCATTACAACTTCTCGGTTTCTTGCGTTTTATTCCGCTTTTGCGGATAACGAATTTACAACTACTAAAAAATGTCTGCTATCCAACTGCTCATAAGAATCTTCCAACTGATAATGTTAGTTTCATAAGAATCCTAAAAAACCATGTGTTCAGCGACTGGAGGATTGTCTGTCAATCTTCTTTTGACGTTGCTGGTAAAACATTAAAGGTTACTACGGCTAAACGTTGTCACGTTTGTAAATTGTATCATCTGATGAGTTAATTAATTTACTTATATTAACTTAAAACCCATGAGTTGCGTTTCTCATTAAATTCTCGAGTGATTTTGAAGAGATAAAAACAGTATTAGCATTTGCATAACTCTGAGCTTGACTTAGAAAGTTTTCAAACTTTTGAATCATATGATTGGAGTTTTGATTTTCTCCAAGATGAACTTTTTTAAAAACAAGCAAAGTATGAATGTGTCAATACAGAGGCACAAATTAACTAATTCCTTAAATATTTTAATTTAAGTAGGTAGAATCTTTTCTCAGATCAAAACTAGAAAAAATAATTTCCTTCTTTATCGATGGAACTTCGTCTTTTCGTTTCAGATTCCTCACGGTGTTCAATACCGGCTACAGAGCTATTCTATAGCTGTTATAACAATTTAGATATATCTAAACTCTTTCTAATTCTAAAACGGAAAAACGATAGCTCTTTCGTATCGATGATACATCATGAAACAAATTTAATGAAACTTGTTGAATACAACGCGTGGAGAATAGAGTCTTCAAAAAAGTGTTTTATACCAATTGGAACAAAGGACTACTATTTCTAGCTTATCCATAAAAGCGCATACTCGTATCTGCGTAGGAAAACTTATGGCACGCATGTTGTTTCTATAATGAGCCAGAAATGGTAGTTACTTATTCCAAAAAGCGATCTAATTTAATGCTTGGTATTGGGATCCGTTAATTTCGTCCCCGCGTACTTT